AAAAAAAAAGAGAGAGAGAGAGAGAGAGAGAGAAAAAAAACACAGCTGTGAGGCTAGATACCAAAGCCCAGGTGCCCCATTACCACCAGAAAAAATATTTCAGTCATTGTTCAAAAAAAAAGCCAAGCATTACACATTCAAGAGGCTGAAAAATTTACTTACATGAAAGAATAGCTCTACACACAGATGCCTAGAAATGAAAAAGTTAGAGTACAAGAACCATTGTTGTTGGGCTGGGGATGTGGGGATGTGATAGAGCTCTCACTTTGTATGCATAAGGCTTTAGGTTCAGTCCCCAGCAAGGTGGGGGGGGGGCGGATAAAGGAACTATTGTAGTGAGTGGTTGCCCCTGGGGCCGGTCATTGCCTCCCTTTTCTGTAGAAGCACCTGACTGTCTGTGGTGAAGGTCTCTTTATGTTAATTTATTTTAAAAAGAATAAGATCTAACAAAACAAAACAGAGCAAAGCTAATCAGAACAGAACACTGAAAGTGATACAGGACTTCAAAACAAGATCATAGGAAATCAATGATGGCTACCATAATGTCTCTCGTTTTCTTCAAAATTGTTGCCCATATAATAAAATCAGGCAAAACAGAATAGAATAAAACTAATCAAAGTAAAAGAATGAAAGCGTATTTTAAAGAGACTAAAACCAAACAAGACAGAATAAAGCCAATCAAAACAAAACAGTGAAAGTGACAGAGAATTTCAAAACAGGATGATAGGAAATCAACAGTAGCTACCATAATGCCTCTTGTTACCTTCAGAATTGCTACCCAGACCACCAGACATAATAAAATCAAATGAAACAGAACAAAATAAAACCAATCAAAACATAACATTGAATAAGACAATACAATAAGACAGAACAAAACAAAAGTGAGAACAATATTGGATATCAAAAACAAGACAGAAGGAAATCCTTCATATTTGCTGTATTGCATATTGTTGTCCTCTTAACAGATGCTCAGACTTCCAGCCTTAGGCCTACAAAGTCAATCAAACAATATAAACATTTATTTGTCTTGGTACATGAGATGCTATCAGCTCAGTTGTTTATGGTTGTGTGTGTGTGTGTGTGTGTGTGTGTGTGTGTGTCTGTCTGTTCTTGTCTTTTGGTTGGCTCATGGGAAGGGTGAATTGGTTTCTTGTTTCTCCTCCCAGGCCCAGCATGGCTTCCCCCAACTCATGGGAAGGATGAACTAACTTGTTTCTCTTCCCAGGCCCCAAATGGTTTGTGCTGGCTTCCTTATGTTATTTATGTGATCCTAATTTCCTATTTGATTTTTTTGTTTTGTTTTGAGACAGAATCTTACTATGTAGTTTAGGCTTACGTTGAACTCATTATGTAGCCCAGGCTGGCCTTGAATTCAGGGTGATCCATTTGCTTTAGCCTCTTGAGTGCTGGGATTATAGGCATGTACCACCACACTGAGCTGTTTGGTTTGTTTGAGACAGGGGCTCACATATAGGTCAAGTTGTCCTTGGACTGTATGGCTGGCTTCAGGCTCACAGCAACCTTACTCTCCCACCCCCCGACCAACCCTGAGTGCTGTGGTTATAGACATGTAGCACCATGCCTGGCTTCATGTGATAAAATTAAAACATTTTTAGCCAGGGGTTGTGGCATATGCCTGTAATTCCAACACTTACTCAGGAGGCTGAGGCAGGAGGATCACTTTGAATTTGTGGCCAACCTGGGCTACAAAGTGAGTTCAAGTCCAGCCTGAACTGCATAGCAAAACTTTATCTCAAAAGTAAATTAAGGAGGCTGGGGATTTAGCTCAGCAGCATAAGCGCCTGCCTTGCAAGCAGGCAGTCGTGAGTTCGATCCCTGGTACCGATAAAAAGGAAAAAGACCAACAACAACAAAAAAAAAAAGTAAATTAAATAAATAAGTAATAAAACAACATTTTTAAAAGAAAATCTGAAGAGTTCAACAGTTAGTAGTAAAATGATTTTTGCCTTTCAGAGTTGATACAAAGACACACTAGCTCACAGTCACATGCATTTATTGAAGTTGCTGATATTTTGTTGTTCTTTCTTTGGTCCTTTTTTCTTCTTTCTTTCTTTTTTTAAGACAGCATCTTACTATGTTGTAGAGACTGGTCTTTAATTCCTGGGCTCAAGCGTCCCTCCTGTCTTAGCCTTGGGAGTACTGGACAGGTAACTACTGCAGCTGGCTGAGGCCTCACCTCCAAACACCATACAGTGTAGAGTTTTCCTCTTGACACACACAGTGGGGATGACATTTGAGCACATGAGTCTTGGGGACACACACAGACCACAGCCCTACCACAGCGTGGGCTCACAGTGAGGGCACAATCGCAGTTCCAGCTTTGTGGAGCACACTGTGAGGAAGGGAGCTGAGGGGCCACTGAACCACAGCTCACCGCAGGGGCTGGCGAGTGTGGCAAAAGTGTTCTGATGCAGAGAAAACCTCGGCACCACCTACCTGGAGTGTCCAGTTAAGGTTTCCAGAGTGGGTGCCATGGACATTGAGGCCTTGGGGTGAGAGAGACAAGTGTGTTTGCAGATCTTTCTAGGAAAAGGAAGAAACAGACTCAAGGAGAAAACCTCAAGGTTTCTGGAGAAAAGAAATTACACTATTTTGTACAACTTAGAACAAACAGAAGCCAGGCAAGGTTATCCCAGCACTTTGGGAGGTTGTGGCAGGAGGATCACAAGTTTGAGCCCAGTTGGGGTAATTTAACAAACTTCAGTCTCAAAATAAAAAGTTTAAAAAAAAAAAAAAAGTGGGGATTTAGCTCGGTGTGAAGGCCTTGGATTCAACTCCCAAGGTGGGGAAAAAAGAACAACTTAATCCTTTGTGACCGCCCAGCAGGATAGATTGTTTAGCACCAGGGCAGGGCAGGGCAGCAGCAAGAGGTTGGCTTTCATTGCCCTGGGTTGGCTCAGCGAAGTTGCCCCTCCCGACTGAGTTTAGACCTAGAGTAAGAACAAAAGCTCAAGAGTTTCAGGAAATGTTTGAAATGCAGATCCTCCAGCCCACTCTGGGAAGGCCATGCGGTCGGCCGCGGCACTTCCCAAGCTGCTCTTCAGGCTGCCAGTCTGTGACCTAGAAGGCACTCTGACAGCGGCTGCATGGACAAGGGGGAGGGCTGGCAGCGGGACATGGGGGAGGGCTGGGGCTGTGTGACAGGTCCCAGAGCAGCCTGGGCTACTCATCTAGCTGCTGGGGACCCCAGCAAGCAAAGTCCCTGCCAGGGCTCGCAGTCCTGTCACCAAATCCTCAGCCCTTGTGGATGAGAGGCAGGAATGCGTGAGCAAATCTCCAGAGATGAGAAGGGATTTCCTTTCTGCTCAGGTGTCAGGGAAGAAGGGCTCACAGAAGATTCTGTTTCGCTTTTGTCTTTGTTTTTCCAGACAGGCTCTCACATGTAACTCAGGCTGGCCTTGAACCCATGGTGACCCTCCTGATTCAGCCTCCTGAGTGCTGGGATTACGGGTGTGTGCCATCACATCTGGCTAAGGTTTTTCTTTTCTCTCTTTCTTTCTTTCTTTCTTTCTTCCTTTCTCTCTCTCTCTCTCTCTCTCTCTCTCTCTCTTCTGTCTCTCTCTCTCTCTCTCTCTCTCTATTTATTTATTATGTATTTATTTTTTGAGACAGACTCTCTACACAGTTCAGGGCATCCTTGAAGTCACTCTATAGTTCAGGCCTGCCTCGGCCTCGTGAGCACTAGGAATATATGGGTGTGCCACAAGGCTGTTTTTATTGTTGTTTTTAAAATGAATTTCATTGGTACATTTTTGACATAATGATCACATTCATCATAGGGAATTTGTGCATGTGCATACTATATCTTAATTCTTTTTTCCTCTCATTTGCCTCTCTTCCCTTCAACCCTTCCTGCCCTCTCCCTTTACTAACTAGGTTTTTGATTTAGAGCAAGTGTCGCTGGCCAACATCTGTGTTTTCCTGGATGACTGATTGATGGAAATCAATCAAGCATTATTTATGTATTTATTGGTACCAAACTCATGACTTCATGCTTGCCAGGCAGATGCTTACGACACTGAGCTAAATCCTTAGCTGATTTTTTTTTTTTAAATCAATGATTTTTAAAATAATCTTTTCGGGGCTGGAGATTTAGCTCAGCGGCATAAGCGCCTGCCTTGCAAGCAGGCAGTCGTGAGTTCGATCTCTGGTACCGATAAAAAGGAAAAAGACAAAAATAAAATAAAATAATCTTTTCAATGCTAGGCTTTGAACCCAGAGCCTTCACAATGAATGGCATCCCCAGCCTATTTATTCCATTTATATTTTGAGATTTGGTTTCACTAAATTGCCCAGGCTGGTTTCAAACTTTTCAATCCTCCTGCCTCAGCCTCCTAGAGTACTGGGATTACAGTACAGGCATGAACCCACCACACCTTTTTTTTTTTTTTTTTTTAACTTTTTATTGGTACCAGGGATCAAACTCACAACCGCCTGCTTGCAAGGCAGTGCTTATGCCGCTGAGCTAAATCCCCAGCCCCCCCCCCACACCTTTTGTTGTTGTTTTGTTGTGGTGAGACAGTCTTACTGTGTAGTTCGAAATAACCTTGAACTACTATGTCACTCAGGCTGGTTTTAAACTCAGCTTCCCAAAGTAAGATTAAAAGTGTGGGCCACCACACCCTCCTAGATTTTCTATTTAGCAACAATCACTGGTCTATAGGGAACTGAAGGGGTCTTCAGGTAACCAGGAGGACACAGTGGTAGGGTTGTAAGGATGGAGCTCCAGATGAGACATTTTATTTTATTTTTTTCTGGTTTTTTGAGACAGGGTCTCGCTGTGTAATTCAGGATGGCCTTGAACTCACAGTGATCCTCCTGTCTCAGCCTCTCAAGTGCTGGGATTACAGGCGTGGGCCACCACACCTGGCTATGAGACATGCATTTAAAGAATCACTCTCCTAGAAAGAGTTTAAAAAGGGTCCAGTAGGCAGCCAGGAAAGCCACACAGACCCAGGTTCCAGGCAGAGAGTTGCAGGATGTCCACCACGTGTTTCCTGTGCCAACACTGCCACCAGCCCCTGAAGCTCCGTCAGACCTTGGAGACTCAGGGCTGCATACAAGGGGCTCCAGGGAAGATGCAAGGGGACAGTGGCAGCTCCGAGAAGCTTGCAGCCTGTGAGGGGGCCCAGGCAGTTGCCTCCAGCAGCCTCTGTGAACCCGATGGCAGGATATCCCAGGAAAGTGCCAAATCCTTCACCCTGCTAGGCAGCTTAATCCCTGTGAGAACTCTGGACAGCACTCAGAAGACTTGCGCCTACATTTCCGATGCCATCTCAGACCCAGAAGCTGTGGACCACCCTCTGTGCCAGGAGTGCACCGATTGTCTCCTAGAGCAGCTGGACAAGCAGCTGGCGAGCACCCAAAGTGACATCCAGACCCACAGGCGCTTCCTAGAGCATGGGCTGCCGCAGGGTGGGGATGAGGACACCCTGCAGGCCCAACTGTGGGACCTGATGCAGGAGGAGGCCAGGCTGGCCCGTGAGCTGGGCCACCTGGACAGGAACCAGGCCGACATTGCCACCCAACTGAGCATAGCCCAGGCCCAGACGGCTAAGCTGGTCCAGCAGGAGGCGCAGAGCCTGAAGGAGCTCAGGGTCTTACAGTGGCAACAGCAGGAACTGTCAGACCAGCTGTGCAGCCTGGGCAACCAGCTGATGTATGCCCAGCACAAGATGCAGCAACTGAGGACATATGACATCTTCACAGCCACCTTTGAGATCACGGAGGACGGGCCCTTGGGCGTCATCAACGGCTTCAGGCTAGGCCGCCTCCCGCAGGTCCCCGTGGGCTGGGATGAGATCAACGCGGCCTGGGGACAGGCGGCTTTGCTGCTGCTGGCCCTGTCCAAAGCCGAGGGGCTGCAGTTTCAGCGGTATCTCCTGGTGGCCTGTGGGAACCGCTCCTACTTGAAGTGCCTGAGCGGAGATTGTGGGGACCTGCCCCTGGCCTCCGATGGGAGCCACAATGTCTTCCTAGACAACACATTCGACCGTGCCATGCTGGCCTTCTTGGATTGCCTGCGGCAGTTCCAGCAGGTGGCTGGGCGCTGCGGACTGCGCGTGCCCTACAGGGTGCACGCGCAGGAGGGGCTGCTGAGGGACCCAGCTTTCCCCAGGGAGCGCTGTTCAGTGCGCGCGCACCTCAACACAGAGGAGCAGTGGACCGAGGCGCTCAGGCGCATGCTCAGCAACCTCAAGTTCTGCCTGGCGTGGGCCTCCCAAAGGTACCGTCCAAAATTACACCGGGCTTCCACCAAGACGCTGGGTGGCAAAATGGACCAATGGTAAAGGGTGTGGGGTGCTGCAGACCTATGGTCACACCAAGTATTAATTCAAAACAAAGCACCGACCAGGGCAAATCAGAAACGACTTTGTGATTTCTCTCTTCCTCATCCAGTAAGTGATTGAGTTATCCAGACTGGGCTGTACAGGGTTTTTGTTTTGTTTCGTTTTTAATTTTTGTTAGTATATGTTTGTACAATGGTTATGTTCATTGTGGGGAGTTGGAACATGTACATAACGGAACTTAGTTCAAAGTGGGAGTGGGAGCACATGCCTGTAAATCCAGCTTTCCAGAGGCCGAGACAGGAGAATTGTAAATTTGAGACCAGCCTGGTCTACAAAGTAAGCTTAAGGTCAACCTAAACTGCAGAGCAAGATCCTTCTCAAAAAAGACGAAAAAATAAATATATGAAAATTATAAAAAATTCCCATGGAAATTGCTCACAAGTGGGTGGACAGATAAATGTACAAATAAATAAAAGCCTAGGGAGAGGAGAGCTATTAGAATGTGATAGAGGACCATGTATTTATTGAAAAGCAGAATTTTTCTAAGAGAAAAGAAAGGATATTAAAGGTAAAACACAGGTATAAAACCATTAGAATGGGACTGGGCTTGTGGCTCAGTGGTAGAGCTCTTGCCTTGCATGTGCAAGGTCCTGGGTTCAATACCTAGCACCACCAAAAAATCTGAAAGAGCCACTGAAGAATCAAGCAAAGAGAAAGAAAAGGCAAAAGTCACAAAGGTCTCCGAGCGTGGCAGGATCATGTCCCCCTACCCCCTTAGCAAGTGGGAGCCAGTGATCTGGACATCCCTTGAGAGGCTGACCTTAGGCAATGTAGCAAATATGGGGGATTTCCTTCTACCATCTCTTTGAAGGCAAATACTTTTATCCCTGTTTTGCTTTGTTCTAATTAATGGTGTTATTTTAGCCTGTTTTGTTTTGTTGAACTTCAGTATACATAAAAGTGTGGACGGCTATTTTGAAGAGAATGAGACTCTACGACAGCCATTAGTGACTTCCCTATTGTCTGGTTTTGAAGGCCTAAAATGCCTTCCTCATTCTGTTCGGATCAGCTTTATACTATGTTGTTTTGTATGAATTCTCTGTATGCGAAGACATGGACAACTCTTTGGAAGAAAACAAGAGACAATACGATAGTGAAGATCTCAGGTCGTCTAGCTTTGAAATTTATATCTCTTATATTTCTTTCTTATGTACTGTTTTGTTCTGTTTTGTTGTGTTTAATTTTACCCCCTCTAAAATTAAAAAAAAAAGTCGCAAAGAGAGGGTGATTAACTGAGTAAACAAAGATTGAAGAACCGAGGCTCGCTTTTGATTCAGGGTAAACAGAAGCCATTCAAGAATTCTGGCCAGAGTAATACCTCTTGAGACTTTCTGAATGACAGCATTTATGCACCATTATTATTATTATGTTGTCTTCTGGAGACAGGGTCTCTCTATGCAGTTCAGGCTGACCTTGAACTCACTTGGTAGAGCAGGCTGGTCTCAAACTCGAGATCCTCCTACCTCAGCCTCTCAAGTGCTGGAATTACAGGCATGTGCCACTAAGCCCAGTTTAAATACCATTATTTACTGTGGTGCATATATGCTATCTTAAAATATTCATATGATAGAATATGCTATATTTTGTTTTTGTTTTTGAGACAAGGTCTCACTGTGTAGTTCAGGCTAGACTTGAACTATGTAGCCCAAACTGGCCTCCAGCTATTTTTTTTTTTTGTCTTTTTCCTTTTGATCGGTACTGGGAATCGAACTCACGACCGCCTGCTTTAAAGGCAGGCACTTATGCCGCTGAGCTAAATCCCCAGTCCCCCCCCCCCCAACTCTTGGTAATCCTCCAGCTTCAACCTCCCAGGTGCTGGGATTACAGCATGTGCCACCACGCCCAGATTATGAGATAGGGTCTTGATATGATACGCTGATCTTGAACTCCCAGTGATCTTTCTGCCTCTGCCTGAGTGCTAGGATTACAGGCATGTGCCACCACGCCTGGCTCTGCCTTTATTTTTGGTAGATGTACAATCTAGGCTGAGAAAAAAAGTGAAAAAGAGAAGTAGTTTAAGGTGAAGGAGATCCTTAAGAAGGGTGTGGGAACAAGACCTGAAATTGGAAATAGGTGTTGCTTTGATTGATCATTACCAATTATAGGGCAGGGATACTCTCCTCTGCTAGGATTATTTCCAAAAGACGAAAAATATTTACAAAAGATGAGAAGTATAAAATAAAAAGCGGCCTTTATTCTGAGAACACGGAGAGAGATGACCCACACCGCCACCGCTGGCGTCCCGCGATCTCTCTGGCAGACACCTGGCGTGGGGGCATGTAAATAGCCTCTGTTTGGGGTGGAACCTAAGGCGGGCATTAGGGATGTACTGGCAGCCCATTGGTCCTAGGTTTGGCGCCATATGTAAATTTCCAGGGGTGGGAAGATGGCGTCACAGGTAACTTCCTAGGGGCAGAGGAGATAGGGGCTTCCTGCTTCCGGTTGTGGCTTTCCTGGCTACAGTGTCCTATCTGGGCCAAAACCCTTTCATCCTCTTCCTTTCTTTTTTTTCTTTCTTTTGCACTGGGGATGGAACCCAGCCATTTGCATGGAACTATATCCCAGCCTGTCTCCCTTGTTTGATGGTATCTCACCCAGTTTCTCAGGCTGGGCTCGAATTTGGAATTCTTCTGCCTCAGCCTCCCATTAGCATGGACAATGTTTCTTCTCGGAGAAGCTTCCCTGGACAGGGACACTGGAGCCCTCTGTCACTGTCAGTGTGACTGACTTAGTCCCTACAGCACATACAGCTATCTGAAATAATCCCCTCTGCTGCTTTATCTCCTTCACTCTCCTTTTCTATAAAACATACGCATTGTAAACATGGGCTTACTCTTTCTCTTTTTTAAAGCCATGGTATAATGAAAACAAAAGAGTTGTGAACTAATTATTTGTTAAACAAATAAACACGTATACTTTCATTTGAAGGCATTAGCTCTTAGGTGGGAATTGAGGTCATGACCCTGACTAAGAGAGTGTACTCACAGTGACAGCAAATAATACCACACTGTTGTTCTCTGTCTTATTAGCCTTGGAGATAGGAACTTTTTTTTTTTTTTTTTTTTGAGACAAATCTGGCTGTGTAGCCCAGCCTGGCCTCTTGCTCATAGTAACCCTTCTGTGTCAGCCTCCCAAGTGCTGGGGTATAGGCATCTGCCACCACACCCAGCTCAATTTTGGAGACAGAAGTTGATATTTTCCCTGAAAATCACAGGAGAACTGATTCTGTAAATATTCATATTAGTTAAATATAGATCCCTCAAAATTGAATGCAGATATCTTGTGCTCTTGGTGAATGATTTGGGAATGACAATTCACAATGTACCATTGTTACCCCCTGATTGATGTGTTTTGAAATTTTGCTTTCTTTTTTTTCTCTTTGAAATAAAATGGATTTGAAAAGAAATGGATCCTTTTTTTGTTTTAACTTTATTGCTACTTATGATCAATTTAATATATTTGGTCTAAATGATAAGGAAAATCTTTTTCAAGTTTATATGAACATACTAGCAAAGAGTATTTTGAATGGCTTTAGAGTCAAACTAGTATTTGGTAAGTAACTCAGTAAGTAACTCAGTAATAAATACTGAGTTTGATCTTTCAAAATATCCCAAAGCACAGAGAATGGTAGTAAGAATTCTTTCTTTATTCTGCAAGTGAACATTGGGCCAGCTGATATCAAATTTTTCTTGGATTTAAACAGTAACAATAACAGCTAGGTAATGTACACATCTGTAAGCCCTGGAAGGGCTGAGGCAGGAGGGTTGCTGTGAATACGAGGCCAGCCTGTACTCTATAGTGAGATCCTGTCTCAGAAAGACAAAAGAAAAGAAAGTACTAATACGGTAATTTTAAAATTCTAAGGTATGTGAAAAAGTAAGTACAAGAATGATGATTTTTTAAAAATAGCTTAGTTGTACTGCAGTCAAGATTTGTACGATGTAGGCCGGGGATATAGCTCAGCAGCACAAGCACCTGCCTGGCCAGCACAAGGTCTTGAGTTTGATTCTTAGTACAAAGAAAAATTCTCTTTTGAGTAATAAAAACAATGTTTGCAACTGAAAAAAAAAAGATTTTTGTATTATGAATATGTAAAGTAAAATGAGACTTTGGTTATCAACATTTGCTTTTGGGAAAATATCTTAATATCTTTAGGCCTCAGATTTTTCATCTGCAGAGCAAGGAGTGTAGAGATATGAAAGGTATTTGAGGGATTCTGTCTTCTGTATTTTCCTCAAATCTGTGCACTGTACATTGTACGAATCCTACTGAAGGTAATCTGGAAATTTATATTATTGATGATAAAGAGGAGGACTTTAATTCTACCTTAAATCATTTAATATGATATGAAATAATCTGAAACTTTTGCTACATGAAGCTGGAATTGTACTGCTAGAGGTAGGTTCAACTTCATTGAAATGTGTTTTTTTTTTTACTTTGTTAAAATAGTGAGTTTATTTCAGAAATATGTATATATATATATATATATATATATATATATATATTTTTTTTTTTTTTTTTTTTTTTTTTTTTTGGTACCAGAGATCAAACTACCACCGTCCTGCCGCTCCGGTGTTACAGTTTTAATACAGTTATTGGATCTCAAGATCTGTTTGGGTTAAACAGTAGTGTCTGATGAAAAAATTCCAGTTGATTTGTCTAATAAAATGAAGATAACAGTGAAAGGGTTTTGGCCCATCCAGGACACTGTAGCCAGAAAAGCCTCAACCGGAAGCAGGAAGCCCCTATCTCCTCTGCCCCTAGGAAGTTACCTGTGACGCCATCTTCCCACCCCTGGAAATTTACATATGGCGCCAAACCTAGGACCAGTGGGCTACCTGTGCATCTCTAATGCCCGCCTTAGGTTCCACCCCAAATGGAGGGTATTTACATACCTCCAACCGACACGTGTCCTCCGGAGAGATTGAAGGTGGCCAGTG